CAGGCTGTTGGCCTGGTATGACACTGAGTTGGCACTGGGAAAGTTAGTATCTGATGAAGGGAGTTTTGACTCTCGGAAGCTCATACCCTGAGAATCTTGTTGGTGCTACTGGACTGGGATGTAGCCTTAGAACAGGGGTGTCAAGCTCATTTGTTAGGAGGGCCAGATCAGATATTAGTACTCTTGCAATATTTTGTTTATTTAGCAGTCTCTGATAACTGATACCTCTTGCTCTGAATTATTGATCAAAATGTCTGTGCTGTTGCAGTCTTGGGTATGCTGTTCAAGTGTGTATCTGTAAGCTGCAAACTTACTTTTGATTTATTGACATTCACCACAGAAATCTCATGCTCAGAGTTCTGAGTCTAAGACCCAGGGGAAAATAATGAAATGGCTGAGCGATTGAGAGAGTCTGGCAAAGCAACAGCAGCAGCAACAGAACTGGAAGCAGCAGATGGCCAGTTCCAGTGCGGGCCTGATGGAAGCCCTCCGGGGGCCTGATGTGGCCCCTCGGGCCGCACGTTTGACACCCCTGCCTTAGAAGGAGAGCAAATGGAAGAGGAGGAGGAGGATAGGGGATGTGTGTTCATGAGGCTTGTGGGTGGGTGAGACAGGAGTGCCCCCTGCTGGCCTTCAGAAGTAACAATCTGCAAGAGAAGCGAGGTGTTTGACACCCCTGCCTTAGAAGGAGAGCAAATGGAAGAGGAGGAGGAGGATAGGGGATGTGTGTTCATGAGGCTTGTGGGTGGGTGAGACAGGAGTGCCCCCTGCTGGACTTCAGAAGTAACAATCTGCAAGAGAAGCGAGGTGCTCTGGGGTGGCTGATGCTGCACTGGCTGAGATGCACGGTGGGGTGGAGGGGGCCATTTGTTCATCCCAGGCAACCTTGCATGTTTACCCAGTGGAAGGGTGGGGGAAGCTGTCTCTTGCACATTGCTTGGGGGATGCTAGGAGCAAGGGATTCTGGGTGTCAGAATCACAGCAGATAATAAGATACACTCTTGCAAAAGGTTTTATTTTATTAAAGCCATGAAACGGGTAGAACACAGTCTCTGTCAGGAATGACACAATGTGCTTGATACGGGTATAATAAAGGGAATTCAAAATAGCTTGGGCCAATAGACATGATTCCCGCTGGCGCCAAAAGATTCCCCTCGCGCCCAAACCTTGGGAACTCAACAGTTTGAACTAATTAAACAAGCCTTCTATTCTCACGCTACATCGCATGATAGACTAAGCAAAAAGCCTCCAAGTGCACACCACCTGTTGCAATACTGATAAGGTTCCTTCAAAGCTCTGCAAGCGTATAGGGAAAGGAATGTAGTTGCCACTAAGCACATGGGGTTAGGTGTGGGCATATGAAGTCCTGCACATGAAGGCGAGAGTGGGGGTTGGGATACAACTCATAAGCAAAGAAAATACAATTGGCAGCTTGCTGACACTGGTTCTCTCCCTGAGCACTCTGACGGAACCGGAATCCGTTATCCAATGATATAAATACTGAAGATTCAGAGCCGTACACCGTGCTAGTTGCTATGCACAGCAGGGGAGCTTGGGGGAAAGGAGATTTTGGGCACATGAAGCCGCCTTATCACACCACTGGTCCATTGAAGCGAGTGTGGTCTACTGCGCCTGGCAGTGGCTCTCCAGGGTCTCAGGTGGAGGTCCTTGACATCACCCACTGCCTGGTCATTTTTTTAAACTGGAGGTACCAGGGATTGAACCCGGGACCTTCAGCATGGAAAGTTTGTCCCCTGAGCCACAGTCGTTCCCCTCCCGTACTATTTCTGCTATATTCCATCCCTCCCCTCCCCGTTTAAACATCGCTTTCTCTCTCTTTTCCTTTTGTTACCTTGCTAAATGCATCTGTCTCCTTGTTAAGTCACTCGCTTAACAAAGTAGTCAGAGAGCGATTCAGCAAAGATTCAGCTTTATTCATCAACTCGAACACAACTCCAACACGGATCAACATCTGATAGCCAGAACAGCTTTTGCATTAAAGCCGTTCCCTTTTTAAACTCTCCCGGCTAATGTAGCCACGCCTTACTGTACAATACTAACCGATAAGATTGTTTACATAACGACCAATCATAGACGTTCCCGATCAGGGAGCTTGCTGGTACCTGATTGGTTGGTTCTTCCTGGGCTATCAATACGATTGGATGGATTAGGATCCTAGCCCAGGACGAAGGTTTTCATGGCATTTCAGTTATGTTGTTCACATACAGTTATGCATTCAATGGCAGCTATTGAATACATTACACTCCTCTAACCTTTCTTTGCGTGCTTTCATGGAAGGATAGAGTGGAAAGAGAGAAAACGAGAACAGGGCAGTTGGAACTGCAGTGTTCCCTCTAAGCTGAGTTAGTGTGAGCTAGCTCACAGTGTTATAGCCTACGGCTCACACACCCTTTTGCCTTAGCTCAGGAAGGATGGCTCCAGAGCAGACTAATTTATGCAGGAGCCAAATCGCTCGCTCTCAACTTTAATGCCAGTACCTCACAAAGTAGGTAGAGAATGGTATATGAAGAAGAAGAAGAAGAAGAAGAGATTGGATTTATACCCCGCCCTTCACTACCCGAAGGAGTCTCAGAGCGGCCTTCCCCTCCCCACAACAGACACCCTGTGAGGTGGGTGGGGCTGAGAGAACTCTGACACAAACTGCTCTTTTTCAAGGACAGCTGTGCCAGAGCTTGTGACTGACCCAAGGTCACATCAGCAGGTGCAAGTGGAGGAGTGGGGAATCAAACCCGGTTCTCCCAGATTAGAGTCGGCACACTTAACCACTACACCAAACTGCACAATGTTGGAAACAAGAGAGAACACCAGAAATTACGGAATGGATACAAAAAGCGTTATTTATGGCAGAAATGGATAAAATAACAAGAAAATTGAATAACAAAGAAGATCAAGAATTTTTTGAAGAATGGAAAGACTTTAAAGACTATTTAGAGAAAAACTGGGATGTGAAACAAAATCTATTGTATTTAGAGCAATACTAATATAGAGAAATGTTATCTTGTGACCGATAAACTGATAAATTGAATTGTGAAACAAATGTTAAAGCTAGAAGGGTAGAGCACTGTGGGAAGCCAAGAGAAGGGGAGGGAAGGAGGGGGAATATGGATATTTGCCAACTGAAATTAAATGTTACATGTGTTATTATATCCAAAAATAAAAGTTTTGTGCAAAAAAAAAAAAGTAGGATTTTTTGCTCACAGCTTAGAGGGAGCATTGGTTGGAAGGGAAAGATGGGGCCGCCGCTTTCTTGCTAGAGGACTGATCTCTCTCCCTCTCTGTGTGTGTCTTCTGTGTTACAGGAGAACAACGTTCGAGCTTGCTTGCCTTTGCAGTACACTCCTGCAGGAATATGAGAAGCGGGACACAGAGTGAGTCTTCTACCTGGGGCTCGGCCTGCATCGGCTGTCTCTTCAGCCCTTCTCTGACTCCTTGGCTTTAAGACATAAGAGAGGAAGGCAGAACTGATCGATGGTGTTCCCGTCCTCTCTCCCATCCTTCCATTCCCTAAACGAAACACTTCCCTTTCAAATATATCGTTATGAATGTACGTTCCGTTCCTAGTAGTGCATGCCCAAAAGGAGAAAAAAAACCCCACCCAGGTGCGTGTCTCACATCTGTGTGTGTGATGCAGCTGTTCAGTCAGCCCTGTCTGCTCAAAAAAGCTTATTCTCTCCCCCCACCCCCACACTTTTGTTTTGTTTGCAAGATCTGGCCGCATCGACAGCGGCACCTCTGCATTGCTAACTGCCAACTGGAGACCCTTCGTTTACAGCAGATCCCCCCGTCAACCATTTGGCTCAGGCTACCAGACAGTGGCTATAAACCCAGGCCAGCTTTCATGAGCAAGAAAGGGGGGAAGGACTAACTGTGCCCAACCGCATCTTCCCCCCTCCCATCAAAGGCAGGTCACCTTCTCCGGTGTAAGGAGCCTTGAAGCTAGGCCTGGATCATCCTGTGGCCTCCACCATCTGAGCCCCTGGTATATTAAATTGCACGTCTGTACTAAAGAGCAGGTTGCTCTGACTTCGGTTTTCGGTAAGGTGCAGTCCCAGGGATTTTCTTCGCAGAGGTCAAGGCGGGGGGACCAGGTGACTCACGTGTGCCAGTGGGGAATTCCTTACCACGAGACCACCAAAGGGCCCTGCTCTGATCCATGCTTGGGCCGGTAGTTAATAAACTGCTGGTTTGACAGAGTGAAGTGGCAGGAATCAGGGTCTGACGTGAGTTTAAAATTATCTTGGGTCAGACAGTGCTGGGTCTGGGACGTTTAAACCATTATTTCTCCTTTAGAGCCAGTTTGGTGTACTGGTTAGGAGCACGGACTCTGATCTGGGAGAACCAGGTTTGATTCCCCCACTCCTCCACATGCAGCTGCTGGTGTGACCTTGGGTCAGTCACAAGTT